TGAGTCGATGCAATCAGCTGGTTTTCCTTAGATAGAAAACTTTGAATCAATCTGCCTGGATGATCTGGTGATTTGGAAAGTGAGCAGAGATGACATGGTGTGAATTGGAGCTATAGAAATAAACTGAATAGAATTGAAATAAAGTGAAGATGGCAGCTGTAATGAAGCCATGTTTTGATGTCACCTTTTATTATTTCCTAGAGGAGCTGATGCAGCTTTCAAACCTCTACGGCTGGATGATATTTTCTGATTGGTTCTAAGCTTTTAGTCCCAGCCTTAAATCGGCTCCTCTCCAGCTGTGTTTACTGAATCACATCCCCCCTCCCAGGTGGTGACGTACTGACGCCACCATCATATAATGACACCCCAGCTAAATGACAGGTTGAAGATGTTTTATCACGCCGCCAATGACCAAATAATCTCTTAATGTTAGCTTATGGAGTGTGTGGTGAGAGAACGGACCAAATGGAGCAGAAATCATCTCCTTCTCCTCCACAGTAAATGGCTCTATAGTCACTTCATCTACAGCCTCTATTATTTTTCTTTAATTAATAAGAATTTGTCTGAATAAAGATAAAACAAAAAGTCTTCCTCCTTCACCAGTCAGGTTATAGAGCAGAGTTTCATTCTCCGCTGTGGTCTTTGCTCCATAAACTGTAGTTTAAGACGCCATCGTTCCAAAACAGCGGAGGGATTTGAAGAAAACAGAAGTGCTGCATGTTGGCTCGTTTGGACCTGCTGCTCGTTGCTACTGAAACCACTCAGCGTCACGTTCTTTCCCTTTAAACTGTTTCTACGGTTAAAAACTCACAGTAGTAGTGAAAAACAGCTAAATGTTGAAAGTATCAGAATTTCCTGAAGGTCAGCCGACAGGAAGTAAATCCATCCTCTTTAGTCCAATCTGGATTCATTCATCTTTAAGCTCTATGTAGGGAAATCCTTTGAAATAAATCTGCATCTGAAATCCAAACTGAGACCTGATGGCCCCAGGTTGGCCAATCACAGATCCGAATGTGTCTGCTGGGAAATAAGGAAATGTTTTTTTGTTTTTTTTTTGTAAAATGTCCAAAGTTTTCCCCTAAATCAAAGCTCAAAGCCTCGATAAATGGTGTCAAAAAACAGAGTTTCCTCTTCCTTCCACTGGATCTTAGCATGGGCAGCAGGCTGGCCCGAGTGCAACACTTCATCACTTTATTCATTAATTCAGTTCTATTCAGTTTATTTCTATAGCTCCAATTCACATCATGTCATCTCAGGTCATTTTCCAGTTCACCAGATCATCCAGTCAGATTGATTCAAAGTTTTCTATCTAAGGAAAAGCAGCTGATTGCATCGACTCATTGACTCTTCAGCAATCCCTCACACTAAGCATCCTTGTAGCGACAGTGGAGAGGAAAAACTCCCTTTGAATGTTTAAAACTAGTTTCTTCTAGAGAAAATCTGTTCAGCTGAAAATCTCAGAGCAGAGCTTCTTGGATTGACTGCCTCTGCTGTCCTTCGACTGAGTATTAGGGCAAGGCTAGAGTTTTTCTTTTTTTTTTTCAAATACAAGAATAAAGTCACATTATCAGAATAAAATAGCAATATAACAAGAACAAGGTCATATTACGAGAATAAAGTTGCAACATTATCAGAATTAGGTTGCAGTTTTACGAGAATAAAGTCACATTATCAGAATAATTTTGTAACAGTACTAGAATAAAGTCGCAAGATTTATACAATAAAGTCACAACATTATCAGAATAAAGTTGCAACATTACTAGAATAAAGTCACAACATTATCAGAATAGTCATCGCAACATTACTATAATAAAGTCGCAACATTACTAGAATAAAGTCACAACATCAGAATAGTCATCGAAACATTACTATAATAAAGTCGCAACAATAATACAATAAAGTCACAACATTATCAGAATAGTCATCGCAACATTACTATAATAAAGTCGCAACATTACTAGAATAAAGTCACATTATCAGAATAGTCATCGAAACATTACTATAATAAAGTCGCAACAATAATACAATAAAGTCACAACATTATCAGAATAGTCATCGCAACATTACTAGAATAAAGTCGCAACAATAAAGTCACAACATTATCAGAATAGTCATCGCAACATTACTAGAATAAAGTCGCAACATTATCAGAATAAAGTCATAATATTATAACTATAAATATCATAACTTTTAATATTATGATTTTATCCTCATAATGTTATGACTTTATTCTGCATTAAAAAGAAAAAAATCTTTAGCCTGGTCCTAATACTCCAATAAAGCTGGGGATGTACTGTGCGATATTTTCAATCGTTGCACGCAGGGTTTGCAGCTCATGATGTTTGTTCTCACACTGTGTGGCCCGATGCTCTGATGTGACCTAAAGACTGAATTTCATGTTCAACATGTTTGATTTCCTTCTGACCTTACGATTCCTGATCGGGAGGTGATCGTGAGAGGCTAATCGCCCCTCGTACCCCCTGTATACTACATGACGAACGATAGAGCTAAAAAAAAAAAAAATATTGCACGACTGGAGAATCGACCCAAAAAGGGCCAAAAATCGTACGGTGTACTCTGGGCTGAAGGAGCCACTGAGTAAAACGATATGTACGTAACCACCAATAGATGTTCTGTTGCCTTATATAAGGTTAATTATTCCACAGAAAAAGCTTAAAAATGGGATTTGCTGCTTATTTGGGATTTAAAGATTACTCTTTAAGTCCTGGAAGACAAAAAAAAAACAAGTTTGCGTGATTTAGATGAAAAAGATTTAAAAAAGGACATGGACACGACCTTAGACGGTTTTCAAGTCTGAAGGAATCTGGCTTTACTCCGATTGTTCCGGTCCACCAGGCCTCCTTCACTTCAAATATTTCCAAACAAAGGAGAGCAATGCCAAAAGCATGTGGAGCAACCTGAAATGTCAGCTGCCTCAGGCTGAATTTCTCACCTCTTAATTCTTTTCTGGGTGTTTTTTTTTTTTCTTCCTGCTTCAGGATCTTCCAGGTTGGAGCGGAATGGCGTCATGGTAGAAATCATAAACCTAGACGCAGCAGTCAGCGCTGACTCCCAGCTTTGGTGCATTTTAATTCCCCTCTCCCTTTCTCTTTATTTTGTTTTTATTTTTTGGATTATCACTACAAAGAAATTACAAAAGTGCATCAACTTCTTTCAAAAAGTTTAATTTAAAAGAAAAATAATTTCTACCAACACTGCAAAAAATCTAAATCTAGATAAGTCAACTTTTTCTTAAAATGAGTGCATTTGTTCTTGAATTTAGGAGTTAAAAGAGACATTTTGCCAATGGAACAAGACAATTTACACTTAAAATAGGAAAACACAATTCCATTGTCTTATTTCAAGTGCATATTATCTAATTATCTTAGTTTAAGACTAAAACTACTCATTCCATTGGCAAACTATCTCATTTACCTACTCAAATTAAGGGTGAATACTCTTAATTTAAAAATTTTTTACTTATTTCTAGATCGTTTTTGCAGTGAATGAAGAGGAAGATGTTTTTTTTTTTATTCCAATGTCTCATATATAGTGACATCCGGTTATGTTGGAGGCTAATTTATGGAGTTTTATCTGGATTGGGATTAAAGGAATTAATACTTTTAAAGAGTTTTTCTTTGGTTTTATAATGTGTGCTGTTCCTTCTGCAGTTCGAGGCGGAGTATCGCCGTTTTGGTCTGAAGAGGAACAGCTTCGGTGGCTTCAAGGAGTTCTACCAGATCCTCCAAACCATCCATCATATCCATGGCGACGACGTGCTGCTGGAATATGCTGACGTCCACGGAGATCTCCTTCCAATCAACAATGACGAAAACTTCCACAAAGCCGTCTCTCTGGCCAATCCCGTCCTCCGGATTATCATAACCAAAAAAGGTGAGAGCTGTAAAGAGAAAGGAAGCTTAAAGTTGGCAACGGCGCTGCAAAAGCGAACTAGAAATAAGTAAAAATTAAATTCGTAGGGAATCGGCTGTTCTAACGGGTGCAGTTCCAAATTCTCCTGAGTGGTGCCCGACTTTACACGAGTGAATAAAGTAAATGTGATTGGTCGATTATCAAGGGGGCGGGATTGTTGTGGCGGAAGGTTTGCAACCATCTTTGGTTGTGGCCGGTTTGTCAGAAGCATCTTGCTAACCAGTTAGTAACTTGGTGCTTGGGACCAAGTAGCACTAAATTGGTGACTTAGAAACGACACTGTCAAGGAACGCTAT